TTGCTTTTTCCTGGTAACAAACCAGAGGGGTCATTTACTTTTTCCCTGCTTGTAGAGAGTGACAGTGCGGCTGTCAGTAAGCAGGCATGATTATTCAGAGGCCCATTTAAGGAGGATCAGGAGATCGTTTTGCTTAAACATGTTCTTTTTTCTTTTTCAGGCTGTGTTTGTAACAATCCTTAAATGTTAACATTTTTTCTTCCAGGACAGGCTGACAAATGTCTCATCCTTCATTGTGTTTTGTTTAAGATGTGCATTAACCCTTATTTTCCCAACAGCTGCAGAAGTTCTGGCATGTGAAATGGACAACTTGGCTGAGAGTGACTAGAGCAAGAGAGAGAGAGAGAGGGGTTCAGATAGTTGAAATGTTTGATAGGAGGATTTGAATAGGTTCGGACTGACTGGACTGACTTGGTTAGTAACTGGACTGGATCGGAACCATGGATCAGGACATGAGAGAGATGGTGTGAGAACGCAGCATGCCAGAGAGAGGGTGCAGAGATTGTGACTGCATGTTTTGTTCCCGGCTGAAGGCCATTCTGGTGAGCTCTGGGTTTGTTTTAATTCCTCTCTGGTTCTGATATGACCTATGAGGTACAGATGGATGTGGTGGTTTGAAGCTCATGAACTTTTATTGGGGTGGAATTGCGCCCCCATTAAGAGCGGTCATGCTGACAGAGGCATTAAATGAATGACATGATGAACCCACAACTTTTTGGAGAAGTCGGAGGCACCACTCGGGTTTTTGTTGTCCTACATGTTTGTCGTTGTTTGTGTCTGTATGTTTGTTTGTTTTCTGTTTTCTGTTTGTTTACTAACATCTTAGCCTTTATGAAAAAAAAAAAAAAGAAGTGGCACGCATGTTAATTTTGTTTAAATAGTTTTGACTACACTACGGATGGAAATGTTTCAAAATGAACAATGGATCTTTTTGATTGGAGAGACATTGGACACTTTCTTTCTTGAGTCGCAGGATGGATTAACCTACAAGGGGCACAGAGACTAACTTTGCTCCTAAACTACAGAAGGAGGGATGGTTTGCAGCTGCTGAGATGCAGACATTAAGGAAATGACTGGATGCCCACTGCTTCAGATGAGAAAAGAACACCGGCAGTGATTGGATGATGGAAGGTCATGGGATCATCGGACAAGACGGATGAAAAAAAAGATAAGTGAACTGACACACCAGATTTCTTATTCACAATGAAAAATTATAGGCAACTTAATTTAAACCAGTTTATTAATACAGATCTATGAATAATATTTTTGCTTTACGGGGATCAACAGGTAGATGTAATATCTTTCTAAACAACACGGCAGTAGTTGGGGATTTTTATTATTTATTTTTTTTTTTTTTTAAGAAAAATATCAGTAGTGATGGCAACAACATAGAGTATAAATTATAGGAGTAACTTTATGGACAGATTTTAAACGGTCTGCTAAATTTTCTTTATATCATCAGGGGGTGGGGTATTCTTAAAGAGAGCAATAAAAAGAGGATTTAGAGATGTTTTACTATGTAATAAATTAAACTGGGTTTTTTGATAAATAGTTTGGTCAGTTGTTAATTAGCACAATATTAAAAGGGACAACAAGTTGAAACTTTAACATTTGGGAATGGTAAAGTAGCATCAACAAAATGCAATTTAGGAGAAATTAGAACATTTTAGGAGCAAATGTTTAAAATAAATGATTTCTTTCAATATAAGCAATAACGATGAAGACTTAATGAGTTAATGAGCTTATGGCGATTCAATATCAGGCACAGGAACTAAAACTTCACCATTTATTTTTATTTCTATTTTATTTTATTTGTTTTGGTCAACATTATTAATTTTTGGTGTTTTTTTTACTGGCTATATACAATTTGGGGGATGGGCAACCATACTTTTTATGCATGAAGCAATAAGAACACCTGACTTTACTTCACTACAGCTGCAATTAATACTTTAGAGGGGATGCACACTTTAGTGTTTAGTTTATTTGAGATAACACATATAAGAAGAGATTATGTTTCCTGCACATTTTTTGGATCTGGTCAGGGGTCCAGATATGACAACTATTGACTGGTTCTGGGGATGTTGGAACAGATTTTCTTTTTTGTTTTTATTTTGTTCTTTGTTTTTGTTTTGTTTGTTTTTTTTTCTCATCGGAGCACTGCTTTTTGGAGAATATTTTAAATGGAGTATAGCTGGACACTTTGCATAGAGGGGGTGCAGTCGAATTCAACACCTTCAGGAACTGTGTACTGCTGAGTTTTGGGAACGCAGCAGCGAGTCAGAGTACAATCCTGTGCTCTGAGCAGATGAACGATTCAATATGACATTTCCTCTTGAAGGGAGGAACACCTTTGACGCACTGTTTCCTTCTACCTCTATGTGATACTGCTGATGACACAGGTAAAGACTTATCCTTCAGGGGGTGTGGGGACACATGGCCCCAAGACTCTTATGGTTCAAAGCTGCTGTGGCTTTTGTGAGCTTTTTTGCATGTTGGAGAGGATCACTGCTCCAAGATAAACTTTCTCTTCCCAACCAGTAGCGGGATGGCTCCTGACCAGTTTCCCACGTATAGATCCACTCACATAGACACACACACATACTGTCATGTAACAACACACCCACACACGGTTAACGACTCGAAGAACACACAAGGGTCCACATGGGAATGAGGTTTTCTTTCATGCAACATTCACGGATACAAGGTCTGATGGGGGAGTTTTAAACAGGGGTAATCTGCGCCGAGCTGGGTTTTTTCTTAGAGATTAAAGAACTTTTAATCATTTTTAATGGGGAGGGGATTAAAGTAGACTAAAATGCAGTTATAGGTTTAGAAGAAAATAAAACTTAAGATGCTATGATGTAGGAACAGTTTGAAAATTTCTTTAGGTAATCCATGAATTGAATGCTGCAATGTGTAAAACAGAGTTAAATGTTTTCTAAATATCTACAATCACCCAGTGATTTTTAGCTTATATGAACAGAAATAATGAGCAGAAACATCCATAGGATGTTCAGGCTGAGTACATACTGTTATAAATAACTTTCAACTGCCAGGCATTGAAAGCTAGGTTATGTTTAATGGTTAATGTTTTTGGGAATTTTTATTTTTATTTTTTTTTTTTTATAGACACTGAAATAATCTGCTGAAAAAACACAGAGTCCAGGGATAATTAATTTAAATGTTGTCAATTTAATGGTGATTTAAGGGATAAAGGGAAGGTAATTGTGGATAAGAATATCTGGTTGTGACTTCACTTAGATTCTGAGTGAATAAAGAATTGTTCATTAAAGACACTGCTTATCGTGATAAGAACACTGACTGCACTCTCTGTGTGTTGAAGGATCCCGGAGGAATGGATTGCTGAAGTGTGATGAGAACACTCCATGAGAACCACCAGGTGGATTCAGCATCTATCTGCTATTGGACTGCATGGAGACCAAAGAGGCTGTGGAGGAGGCCATACGAGACTCTGATTGATTAATTGGATTGATGAGTGATAGAGACACTGAAAGAATTCATCATCATCAGTGATATTCATCATTTGGTTTTAACTCGGACCAGGATAATTCTTGATTTAACCTAATTGTGATGTATATGTTTTGATTTATTTTGATTTTGTTTTGATAAAAATCATGGAAACATTTTGCTCCAGACCCACCAAGATCACGTTTTATGCCACTTTTTCTTTAATGTAGAAAGATTCAGAACCTGATTGGCTTACAGATTCTTTAAGTAGTTGGTAATGATAATTATCAGATTCAAAACGGGGTTTTCTTGCTCAAATTGGCCAAGAGTGGGATTTCCCTGGGGTCACCCCGGTTTTTACTACCTTTTAGAGAGGGTAGCGTTTTCCGGTGGAGAACGGCCCAACCTGTCCTGTGATGTCCCCTACTGTGACTGACTGATTGGTAAAGTTGGATAAATGGGTGATTCTCACGAACATGGTCCAACTTGTAGCAAAATTTTAAAAACATTATATACACAAAAAAACACTCACTCTTTATAAAACAGATCCTAATTTCACTTTTCACTGTAAAATTATAATCTATATGCACATTTTCTAGGTAATTTTAAACATTTTATTCTAACTTTAACCAAATAAATTCATTACCGTAACACAATTTTCATGAAGAAATTTAAAACCACAAAACCATTTTTTTCACATTTTTTGGACACCAAGGACTTCAGCGTGCACAGAGAGACAGAAATAAGCAAAAATAGGCATTTTTTTTACAAAATGGTATATTTTATTTCAAAAAATCATTTCATCACCGTAACAGTGATACAAATTTCGAAGTAAATTTTGATTGTCATTTTTTATCAAATCATTACATTGAACAAACAATATAACCATAACATAAAAAGGGTCTGGCACATTTCATCAAGGGATGAATATAAAAGTAATTCACATAACTAATCTAAATAAATCCTCAAACAGTTAACATAGCGGTAATGAAAAAACACATGTCGGTAATGAAAAACAATGTTTCGGTAGTGAACCCTTCATAACTACATTAATATTTAACTACCCAAACAATAAAATACCCTAGTAAAACATATATTTTTAAAATGTTAAGTTTATTAAGTTGACACACAAACTGAACAGAAAAATAGTCCCATATTTTTCCCAGCCATTTCAGGCAATGAAACAGTTTACCCTGTTTTCAGCAGAGGAAAAGCAGCTGATGTCTTCATCAAATGGCCCAGTAATCTGAGCAACGAAATTGTGTGGGGAAAGGTAAGACTCAATTGATATCAAATCAAATTCAGAAAATGACCCTGAACTACTGATAAAGGGAGACATAAAAAGATGTGGTGATGGATTTTTTTTGTTCCTAGATGATTTGTGACCTTTTTTGTGACTCTTTTTTTCCTTCTAGGTCTGGCCTGATTTACCAGGCGTCATAGTTAATGAAAGTCTTGACTGCCACTTAGACACTTAGATTTAATATACATAGGCTACATAAAAAAACAAAATATTCATTAATTTTAATAATTCATTGGACTTTCTTTTTGTACTTGGCCCAGATTTCTGACACCACACAGAAGTGTCTTGCGGATGAAGAGGTAGGCAGTGGTTCAGGAATAGTTTCTTTGATGTCATCCAAATAATACCATACCTTCTCACCAGCAAACCTTATTGATGGTATGTAGAAGCGATTGTCTCCCGCACAGCTCATTGTATCAACCTCATACTGACCACTGGCAATCTGGATTAATGAAGCAAAAAAATGTTATCAACTGTGTTTTTCAAAGACAATTTGATTATTACATAATCATTACCCTGATATTACATGTTGACAATCTGAATCCAATACTTGCACACCTGACTTCCCATTCTCCACTCAGTCTTAAACCTACCTGTGTTACTGTGCCAGGATAGAGGTCTCCGTCATAGTCCACAAGGACCCATGTTCCTACTTTGATGGTCTCTTCAGATTCCCTTTGCGTGAAAACAAACTCCTTTGGAGAGAAGCAGTCACAAGAGTGACTACAGAAGCACGAAACTTCTCGAAATCTAATATTTCCTGGTTCAGTAGCAACAACCTGTGGAGACATTATGTTTAGTTTTATCTGCAAAACCATGAAAAGGTCAGATCTATAAAAAGAAATATTTTCTTTGAAATGCAAACTTACAACAAAAAATAGAGAAAAATTTGAAACCAAGCTAAAAAAAAAAAAAAAGCCAAGCAAAATAAAAATGAGTGTGCATTTGTTTAGTTGCACATATGGGTGCTCACCTGGTGTATTTTCATAGTTCCTGGGACTGATTTCAGGAATGGAGGAACGAGTTCCCCACATGCAGCAATATTATCCTCTGTTACTTCAAAAAGCCTAACAGATGAGTGCTTTGCCAGATTCTCTAGTAGAGCAGAAGCATTTGGGATGTCTGTGCCATAGGCCACCACACGATCTGCAAGGTTTTTAAGAGCACCTCCTACTCCATCAGGAGCTCCCTTCCCATGAGAGGCCTCAGTGAAGTTCCACGTCACAGTCTTAAACCCTTTCATAAAAGGCACTGTGGACGCAAGGTAGAATGCTACCTTATTCCGATATTGAGATGTTGGTCCATCGGACAGGAAGTGGATATTTTTTGCCAGGGGGTAGTTAGATGTTATGTATCCTAAAACTGGTTGCAAATGTGCCCATGTAGCAACAGCATCGTGCTGTAAACTGGCAGACACAGTAGCAAAGGACTCAGCCTGACCACCAGTGTAGTATAACACCCCTGTATGGAGTGTGACTTGCTGGTGGGATCCACCAAAGTGAGCGTCTTTTATTTCCTTGCTCCATTTGCAGGTGTAGTTTTCACTGTAATCAATATGGACTACAACATCATGCTGGGTCAAATTTTCTTTCAATTGCTTAAGATGAGTGAACTGGTGCCAAATGTTATACAAATGAGTAGATATCCGGGGCAGTTCTGACTTGGTTAGCTCTACAAGTTTTTCAATAGTGGCCACTTTTTTCTCCAGGGTGGTGGTTTTCATGTCAATCTCCGTGGTAGTGCCATTTTGCAGTTTCTTTTTTATTGGTGTTGACCTTGTTGTCCACTCAGTCCAAGATATAATGTTGTTTTTTGTAGTTGGATCCATGTTGACAGGGAAAGTAATATCTTTGCAGGCTTCACATCTACCATACATGCAATCAATGTTTTCCGAATCACAGACAGATGAAGCCACTACATCAGTAATAGATACTGTATGTATCAATCCGAGATGGTGCATTTTTTTAATTTTATTTGAAAAATTCTCATGTATTTTGCAGGCACATGTTTCCCTATCAGTGATCTTTGGTCTCACTATCCAGAAGGGCCTCAGCTTAAAAAACTGGGAGCGGGACACATTGAGGCCTGGGTTCTCTTTAAGAAATCTCTTGTGGAGATTTTCCATGGTGTCTGAGAGGAACCTCTTCCTATAAATTTGTCCACCCTTCCTGACTTCCCCAAGTTTACCATTTATTAATGTGGACACATCGTCTCTGTTCAGGAACAGTCTGACATTGTCACTCATCCTTCTTCTTTGGTTTCTCTCACCCTGCTTCTTGCGGTTCTCTCTCCTCTGTTTGGCTCGACTTGCAAGAAGAACTGTGGACCTGTTTTCCTCCATTCGTTTAATTTTTTTTTTTCAGGCAATCTAGTTCCTTTTTCTTGTTACTAAGAATTTGTTGTGCCTTCCTCAGTTTTTCTCTTAATTTGGCTGTTTTTTTTTTCCGCTTTGGAGTTGATGTTGCAGATGGATTAGAGTTCACGGTCTTTGGTTGGATTAATCTTTTACAAAGTTGTGGTTGAGGCTGAGGGTTGATTTGATTCACACTGTCATCTGAGGGAGGGGTTTCATTTAGTATGTGTTTAACTGTTTGCTTCTTTTTATTATATCGATTAGAATTTTCCCTCCATTTTTTTCGCTGTTTCTGCAGCTGCCTGGGTGTCAGATCTGCAGCTGCCTTTAACAACCCTTTTTCCTTGCGCTTCTGATACCTGTTAAAATAAGATATCAATAGGAACATTTGTGAGACAGCAAAGTTAGCAAAGTCTGTACTGTATTTGTACAGTGTGAGCGTGAAAAAACAGAATAGAAGGAGAGACGAGAAAGAGGGAAAAAGAGCGGGAAAGGGGAAGAGAGGGAGAAAGAGAGACACTACCTTTCCCTTTCCTTTCTTCTATACTCCTCTAGAAGGTCTGGATTGTTATAAATCTTCTGCCTATGTTTTTCCACCCTAGCTCTTGATGCCGCCCTCTTCTGTTCACTTCCTTTTGCCCTTCATATTAGGTGATATCAATTAGCATAAATTAGCTTAGAAATTTAGCCTAAAAAATTGAAAGTATAATAAACAACATTACAGTTTAAATAACCTATACATTTATCTATTTATTATTGCAAAATGACACTGTTCATCACCGTAATCTTGTTTCTCATTACCGCAACAGGCCTCAGATTACGCGGTAATGAAAGTTATGCATTACGGTAATGAATGACATCCACATGTGCTAGCTTAAAATTCTAGCATGTCGTGATGACTCAGTTAAACTTTTCTCACAAACAGTGTGAACTCTCTAACTTCTTCTGTACAAGAAATCATCTTATTAACAACTTTTTAAGAACATGAGGTATTCTACATTACGGTAATGATAACCTGTAGTGTAAAAATAGGCATATGGAAGGAGAAACTTAACAGTTGTCATGATCTAAAGATGTCAAACAATCTTACCTTGTAGCCATCTTTGTCTTCTCTTCTTTGTGGTGCATCATGGGTCAGAAAAACTTTATTTAAAAAAGTGCTGTGAATATTACAGGACTTTGAACACGGTGCAACGGTAATGAGAGTTGAACCTCCGGACACTCACTTTTATTACAATATTCTGAATTACTTAACAGGAAATTATTATATATTATCATATTTTATTAATTTATGTATATTTAAACAAATTCATAATATTTTTTTATAAACCTGCTTGATTATTCATAATAATAAATTGAGGCGAAATAATTTTTTTCCCCTTAGGACACATTACGGTAATGAATTTGTGACTTCAAAAACAGTTAAAAAACATTAAAAAATTTATTTTGGTAGCCAACAATGATCTGTCCCAAATATTAGAAATAATGATTGTCAAAATAAAAGTGGATTATTTTAATTTTTTTATGAGTATGACCCTAAAATTTTCTAAGACATTCAATAGGTTGGGTTCGTGAGAATCACCCAAATGGTTTTTCCATGATGAGTGTCATAGTCACATTTAGGAGGAGGCCTCCAGGTGGGAGTGACAGTAGATGAATTTGGCCTTATTAGATTTATAGGCTTAGGTTATTTAGTCTAAGGTAACGTAAAATAATGTGCGCATAGGAAACTAAAACAGCTTTCCTTTAATTAGATGAAACCCAAATTGTAGTAAAATGCTGAAACTGTGGTCTTGAGTGAGAACATTTGGTCTGTGAAGTTTTCATTGTGATTACTTTTGATCCCTAATTAATGATACATCACTAATTATAGATGCTCTCTGAGTCACCTGGTCCTTCAAAGATGTGTCGCTTCCTGTGTTTTAAGTTACCTGTAAAAACGGTAACTTATCAGGGGGAGTTTATACATCATGTGCACTGTTAATTTGTTAGTCAGATTAGACAGAGCAGAAGGCCTTCCTTCACATTGTGGATGTCACGATGTGTACGGAGGTCATCTAATCAAGACAGCCTTCGTGTCTTTAAGAGTACACAGGATATGGACACATCTTGGAGCCGCTCTGATAGAGGAAAGCTATCTGCAACCCTGAAGTATAGAAGCAAGCTGCATGAAGTTCAAGACATGGATGGCGTGTCAGTTTCTGATACGGCCAGCTCAACATCAACATGATGCAACACATAGACCCATGAGCTATAAGAAGCAGGGGATGACGTTGTTCGGGGCTCAAACTTTGCCGAACGCTCGCGGACGTGATTTTTGAGACCACAGCAGTGTAAGGTATAGGCATTTTTCTCTGTTCTGTAACGACCTGATCTGGAATAAACTCTGTTACTTTTTTACTCCTGTTTTTATAGTCCTTTTGTATATGGTTTTACCCAGTTTGAGTTAAGAGTAGTAAATAACTTGCTCCCAGGAAAAGAACCGGTGAGAAGGCCCCCGGAGCGCTACAGCCTTCCTTCCAAGGGGAGAAATCCTTCTCATTTTAACTTATTGTTACTTACAATCGCATCAGCAGAAACGCGAGGTCCGCAAAGCCTTCTTTTTCTTTTAGCTCTCGCCATTCGGAAAAAGCTTGCCCGATGTTCACCCGTGTACGACTCCTATCTCTGTCCAGAGCCCTTTTCCTCTTTCTTGCCTGCTCCGACATGGGCTTTCGCTATTTTCTTGCTGATTCCACCATGATAACTGCACAAATATCGCCACTGCGCTAGCAACGAGCATGCCTTTCACTGGGGGCGTGTAGCAGTTTGCGCCGTAAAGCAAGACCGACTCTCGCGATGCACAAGACTTCTGAGCCTGTGGGTGCGGGCCGAGGGCTCCTACAATTGCAAGTACGGTATTTCTACTACAGACCACCAGGGTGGCTGGAAAAACCTTCGTTCAACCTGAAAATACTCATTTAATCATCCAAAACATTATGGAACACATTAATTAACTGAAAAATGTTGCATAGTATGCCTTTAATCCTATCTATCTGACCGATTTCAGTTTGCTTGTGTTTATGATAAATCTTCCTCATGCTCCAGGGTTACCTGTGGAGTACCACAGGGATCAGTGCTAGGACCAATTCTATTTACTGTATATGTCCCCATTCGCTAGAATTATTAGACTGTAAGGGATCAATTTCCCATGTTATGCTGATGATACTCAGCTATATCTGTCTATAAATCCAGATGAAGCTAATCCAATAAATAGATTACAGGCATGTCTTGATGCTTCTGAATGCAGACAAAACAGTTATAGTTATAGTCTTTGAACCAGAGTCTTTGAAAAAACAGGCTGATTAGTCAGTAACTTAATTTGGATGGGATTCAACTGATTTCATATGATAAAGTAAAAGATCTTGGTGTTATTTTTGAGCAGGACCTGTCATTTAAATCCCTTATCAAGAAGTTTCTCAAATTTCCTTCTTTCATATCCAAAAAATGAGAAATCTCCTGTCCAGGGGTGATGATGAGAAACTAGTCCATGCATTTGTTAATTCAAGGCTGGACTATTGTAATTCTTTATTATCAGGAGGTTTACAAAAAAAAAACTCTGTCTTTGAGTTTTTGAGCTAAATAAATCACCAACACCGGTAACCTGACTGAGCCTGGATTCTTGGAGGCCAAAGAACCCCGTCACAGTGACCCAAATCATCACTGTTACTGTTATTATATAGTAAATTAAATCATTACTGTTAAATTTTATTTAATTTACAATTGTTTATTTGAATTCTTATTCTGGATTAGTTGGAGACATACACTAGGCTATATCAGCCCCACCAAAAATATTTTTCACCAGACACCCCTGTACTGTATATATCCCAAGCACTTTTCTCTTCCTTTGGCGACGTCTTCTTTTTCGTTGACTATTTGAGCTGATGTAATGAGTACATTTTTCCACTGTGAGATCAATAAAGTCAATCAATCAATCAATCAAGCAGGAGAAGATGGATGGATGTTTTTTTTTTTATTTATCCTAATTTTGGTTGCAAAATTAGGATTTTCAGTTTATTTAGTTTTTTCTATTTTTAAAATCTTCAGTTTTAAAATTAATTTTTGTTTTTTTTTCCTTCAGCTTCACAATACGGTTTTCTAGATTCAAATAAAACGTTTCTGAACAAATATTATGGGTCCAATGTACAGATGTTCATCTACCTTCATGGGAACAACAGTTTTCTATTAGTTGAGTTTGAAGGTCTTCAGATCCAACCCCTATGCATTAGTCAGATGTTTGTGAAACGACAAAGCGTGACTGTTTTAGTCTGAAGAGTTTTAGATATCATCAAGGATGACAATAGGAAAATGATAAAGCTAGTTGGTCCTTTTGAACCTTTTATTTCTCAGGGCTCTTTGAAGGAATAGTACACCCAAAACATGATTAGCCTTCATTTTCTACTCACCCCCATGCTGAACAACACTCTGGAGTACTTTTTTGATATCTCAAATGCATCTGGAGATCTGGGAGGCTTCTTGCCGTCTGCTGACATTCAAATAATGGAGGTGTATGGTGCCCGAGACAGAAAGGTCCATAAAAGTCCACAAAAACCGTGTCAATATTCCTCCATACTGCTCGTCCAATGCATTCCAAGTGTCCTGAGTGGGTAGCATCCAGAATTTACTCGAAAAGAAGTCATTTAGAATGTTTTTAGAGCATAAACAGTAGTGTAAAGGATCTCCTGAAAGCGTGTTCACGAAAACCCTGGTCTCCTTACATTCACCTCCCTCAGCCACTCTTTCCCCATCTCCTCAATGAGGAGATGAGGAGTTCTGCATGGTGCATGGTGGTCTCAAAAGTCCGCAGTAACAACACACATAGGGCGCACCGCACCAAAGGGCACGCCGCACATTTTGAGGAGAAAAAAAGACGTTTATATGCACCTTATAGTTGTGAAAATACGGTATATGCTCCATTTCATCCTCTGGCATGGGAACTGGTTTAAAGCCTGTCTACCCAGCCCGGCTGCAGGTGCAATGGCAGAACAGTGAGCCTCCTGAGGTTTTCAACGACCCTGGTCGAGAAGAGATGGCTCATCAGCAGAGCAAGGAAAACACGACTGAAAAGGAATAGTAATATATGTGATATTTTTCTTTTTCCTCTTTGCTGCCTTAAGGTGAGCTAAATCCCTGTTGTTAGCCACCAGCGTTATACAGCGGTTTATCTGACAAACTACTGTACTCTAAACAATGTAAAAATGTTATGAATGCGTGTGGAATGATCCAGGTCTGCTCTTTCAGAAAACACAATTTAAGACTAACTGGTAGAGTTGTTTAGTTCATTGGTCAGTTTATTGATTGTTGTGGTGGAGGTGCAGGGATTTGACTGTGATCGGTCCGACATATGTCTGGCAGCTCCTGTCTCATTCAAAGGGGGGAAGATATGTGTTGTGTTCTGTACACGCCGAGATGTAGGAGGGGGGAGTTCGAGGGGTGTGTCATTTGTCTGTTTCGTTTTACACAGATGCATATATATATTATTTGTTTGTATCATAAAGCATCAAAACTGAGAGTTCTGACAATACATCTGTTTAATGACTGATGCTCATGGAGATGGGCGAACAGAGGGGAAAAATCTGCAACTGATCTCGTGGAATGTAAAAGGTCTTGGTAGTGCAGTAAAGAGGGGGAAGTTTTTAAACATCTGAAGTAGCTGGCTGCCTCAAATATGCCAGTCACCATTCACTTCACATGCGCGTAGTGTACCCATATTATTGAGAAAGAATATCCCAATTCAGGATATCTTATGTGTTGTTAGTGACCCTTTGGGCAGGTACCTGATGGTGACTGGCAGCATAAATTCAAAACCATTAACTTTCCTTAATATATATGGCCCAAATTCAGATGATCCTAATTTTTTTTTAGAAAAGTCTTTGACCTGCTTCCAGATGATAATTACTCAAACATAATAATAGCAGGGGACCTGACCTCTTACTTGATACATCATCTAAACGACCAGCATCAGAACTGACATCCACCAAACTTCTGAATAATCTCCTCAAATCAAGGAATATAGTTGATATTTGGAGGACTCAACATCCTACATGTAGAGAGTACACATTTTACTCACATGTGCATAACTCTTACAATAGGATTGATTATCTCCTAATAAGTAATCTTATCTCCCAATTGGCTGATTCTAAATACCAGAACATATTGATTTCTGATGATTGTCCCCTAGCTGTATCACTAAACCCGTCCTTTCCAAGGCAGGCATACTCCTGGCGACGTAATGCAAACCGTCTTAATGATGATTACTTTGTTGCAAACATAACCTCTAAATTAAAGGACTTTATAGAAATAAACGATATTGGTAAAGTATCTGTTCACAAGTGTGGGAAGAATGGAGCGGGAGATCGATAGACGGATCTGTGCTGCTGTTGAAATAATGCGGACGCTGCACCGGTCTGTCGTGGTGAAGAGAGAGCTGAGCGA